AAAAATTAATGAATTTTCACTATTGTCATCATTCTGTCGCGAAGATAGAAAACACGGTGGTGTAGCTATTTTTTGCAATCATAATATTAATTTAAAAGGAATAGATTTATCAAATTACTCACAAGCTTTTCACGCTGAATTTTGCGGAGTCGAATTTGTTAACAAAAACAGCATACTTGTTACGGTTTATAGATCGTCTTCAAATGGAGACGAGCTAATATTTAAACATTTATTAACTAGATTATTGTCCGATCTGTCACAGAAGTACAAATATATTAGTATATTGGGTGATCTTAATTGCGATCTAGATGGCAATTCCGTACACTCAAAAGATATTCGTAATATTATAGCTATGTTTGGTATGAAACATTTTATACACGATCCCACCCGTATTACACCTAACACCAAATCTAAACTAGACAATGTCTTAACAAATTTAGATAGTAACGCATTTTCCACTAGAGTTTTGGACATGGATATAAGTGATCATCACGGCATTTATATGTGCATTAGAAATATTATTAATACAAATAAAAACAAAAATATTAATAAGAGAGTTATAAATAACAAATCACTTGAAAAATTCGCTCAATTAGTGAATAGTTTCGATTGGCAAGGTTTAGAGTTAGATGCATTACGGCCTGAGGATATGTGTGAAAATATTTTACAGATATTTAAAACATATTGTGAAATCTGTTTTCCTCTAAAATCCTATCGTACACGAGCAAAGGGATTTGAGTGGTATAACCATGAGCTAAGCAGCCAGCGCAAAGAAGTATTTCTTGCTAAATCCCAATTTAATTTGACAAACTCACTTGAGGACTGGTGTATATATAAATTTCAACAAAAAAAATACAAAAAAAATCTATTAAGCAAAGGAAACGTGACTACTGTACCGATATAATTAGTAAACCCGAAAACAAAAATAAGACTGTGTGGAACATTGTTAATGCGGAGAGGAAAACTAATAAAGCTGACATTGTAGCATCAGCACTTACATGTGATGAGCTAAACACATTTTTCACCACGATAGCTGATAAACTAACCCCCACAATCAACAATGATAACATAGATACAAGCACTTATATAAATAGGTTGCCAAAACCACAAACCTCTTTTTTTATGTCACCAGTTTTGGATATTGATGTCAGGGAAGCCATCCTAAGGTTGAAGAATTCAAGCTGTCTGGATTACCACGGACTAAATAGTGCCATGCTAAAAATTACACTTGACAGTATTGTTCAACCGCTTACAACCTTGTACAACAAGTGTATATCTGAAGGTATTTGGCCAAATGATATAAAAATTAGTAAGATTTTGCCAGTACACAAAAAAGGCGATCTAAATATTACTGATAATTACAGACCTATAGCTATTGTCCCTATTATTGGTAAAGTGTTTGAAATCTTATTGAAAGATAAATTAATAAGCTATTTAGAGTATAAAAACATAATTACTCCATCGCAATTCGGGTTTAGAAAAGGGAGGTCAACTGTGAAGGCTCTTCTGAAATTAATTGACGAAATAGTCGAAGGTCTTGATGAAGGTACCAGTACTCTGTGCGATTTGACCAAGGCCTTTGACTGTGTTAATATAAATATCCTTCTTTCTAAACTTGAATATTACGGAATTCGGGGTAAGGAGTTAGATTTACTATCAGCCTATTTATCTGACAGAAGGCAATATGTATGTTTCAATAACACAGAATCCACACTACAATACACAAATAGAGGAGTTCCACAAGGTTCTGTGCTAGGACCCTTGTTGTTCATTATCTACATAAATGATTTGCCAAACGCAGTTGAGCAAGGCTTTACGTTAATATTTGCGGATGACACATCTATATTGACGAAAGACTGCGAGATTATGAACAATAACTGTGTCTCAATGGCAAAAATTTAGTTTAACTCAAACGAATTAAAACTAAACGAGAAAAAGAATCAACATATTGTCTTCACCTCAAGTAAATTAGTCAAGAAAGATGAACCTGTAAAACTACTAGGGGTAACCCTTGATTCTGGTCTAAGCTGGGCTCAACATATAGACATTTTGAGTTCTAGAATGTCATCACAGGTATTTGCTCTTAGGCAGATGCAAGCTTTTCTAAATACAGCAGGGTTAAAAATAGTATACTTCGCACTAATTCATAGTATACTCACTTATGTCATAATATTATGGGGAAATGCTAGCACAGCTAATAAGGCATTCGTTATACAAAAAGCTGCCGTACGCATTGTAGCAGATTCTGATTATGACGCGCATTGTTGCCCTCTCTTCAAGAATCTTCGTATACTGCCACTACCGTGTGTTTTCATACTAGAAACTCTGTTAGCTATTCATACTAACTTAGGAAACTTTAGCGTACAAGCTGATCTACATAGCTATAATACGAGAAATGCAAACAACTTTGTTCCCCTGGCCTCTAGATTACTTATAACTAAGCAAAACAAAATAGATGTGAGAATATACAACTGCTTTCAAGCACATCACTTGAATATTAATATTAAAAATCTTACCAACAATAAACTCAAGAATCTGGCCAAGGAGTTCTTACTTGAGGAATGTTTCTATAGTATAGACGAGTTCTTAAAATTTAAACAAACAGTTTGACACTAGTAAATTTGTTCTTTAGCTAGTTTTATATTGATAAATTGTATTTTAAATTGTGTTTTAGTTTATATTTTTATTTTAAATTGTATTTGTATTTTATATTTTTATTTTAAATTGTATTTGTACTTAAATTTTATTTTTATTATACTGTTACGTCTTTTTGACATTTTAAAATTTGACCATTTTATATTGTGACCAAAATGTACTTCCTGTATAGAAACAAATGTCAATAAACTTCTATTCTATCATTATTATCATTATTATAATTATTATCATTATTATCATTATTATCATTATTATCATTATTATCATTATTATCATTATTATCATTATTATCATTATTATCATTATTATCATTATTATCATTATTATCATTATTATCATTATTATCATTATTATCATTATTATCATTATTATCATTATTATCATTATTATCATTATTATCATTATTATCATTATTATCATTATTATCATTATTATCATTATTATCATTATTATCATTATTATCATTATTATCATTATTATCATTATTATCATTATTATCATTATTATCATTATTATCATTATTATCATTATTATCATTATTATCATTATTATCATTATTATCATTATTATCATTATTATCATTATTATCATTATTATCATTATTATCATTATTATCATTATTATCATTATTATCATTATTATCATTATTATCATTATTATCATTATTATCATTATTATCATTATTATCATTATTATCATTATTATCATTATTATCATTATTATCATTATTATCATTATTATCATTATTATCATTATTATCATTATTATCATTATTATCATTATTATCATTATTATCATTATTATCATTATTATCATTATTATCATTATTATCATTATTATCATTATTATCATTATTATCATTATTATCATTATTATCATTATTATCATTATTATCATTATTATCATTATTATCATTATTATCATTATTATCATTATTATCATTATTATCATTATTATCATTATTATCATTATTATCATTATTATCATTATTATCATTATTATCATTATTATCATTATTATCATTATTATCATTATTATCATTATTATCATTATTATCATTATTATCATTATTATCATTATTATCATTATTATCATTATTATCATTATTATCATTATTATCATTATTATCATTATTATCATTATTATCATTATTATCATTATTATCATTATTATCATTATTATCATTATTATCATTATTATCATTATTATCATTATTATCATTATTATTATCATTATTATCATTATTATCATTATTATCATTATTATCATTATTATCATTATTATCATTATTATCATTATTATCATTATTATCATTATTATCATTATTATCATTATTATCAATATTATCATTATTATCATTATTATCATTATTATCATTATTATCATTATTATCATTATTATCATTATTATCATTATTATCATTATTATCATTATTATCATTATTATCATTATTATCATTATTATCATTATTATCATTATTATCATTATTATCATTATTATCATTATTATCATTATTATCATTATTATCATTATTATCATTATTATCATTATTATCATTATTATCATTATTATCATTATTATCATTATTATCATTATTATCATTATTATCATTATTATCATTATTATCATTATTATCATTATTATCATTATTATCATTATTATCATTATTATCATTATTATCATTATTATCATTATTATCATTATTATCATTATTATCATTATTATCATTATTATCATTATAATCATTATAATCATTATAATCATTATAATCATTATTATCATTATTATCATTATTATCATTATTATCATTATTATCATTATTATCATTATTATCATTATTATCATTATTATCATTATTATCATTATTATCATTATTATCATTATTATCATTATTATCATTATTATCATTATTATCATTATTATCATTATTATCATTATTATCATTATTATCATTATTATCATTATTATCATTATTATCATTATTATCATTATTATCATTATTAGAAAATGGTCTAGAATTGTTGAAGTGAACACACGTATACAAAATTTACTCCCAAGTTTGAAACCAAAAACCGAATTTAAACTTTAAATTAATTAGTTTTAAATTGTGTATGTTCGTTATTAGTGTATAGTGCATCTGTAAAACTATTTGTGAAAGTTTTGTTCATCGTATAAGTCCTAAAAAGTGCAAAAATTCATATTGCAGCATTTTTACTGTGAGTACAAAAACAATATTTACATTTAATTTGGGCCAATACTTGGTTTATTCCACCACAGTCGAAGTCGAAATATAAACACAATATATTTTTCTGGTTTTCGCTGTGATTTTTGAATTATTTGTTATCATGGGAAACGATAATATCGCTAATAGATGCAAGAGGTGTAAGAAAGAAGCAAAAACTGGTCTCCGTTGTATAATTTTTGGCGCAATATCGCACAAATGTTGTTTACCGAGTGTGAAAAATATAATATACATAGATAGCCAATCTATCAACTGTTGCTCTGATAGTAGTGACAATAATTCCATCAATTCAAATGACTCAACTACTTCTAATATAAATATACCTACTAACTCTATTGACGAAATTAAAATTAAATACTTGGAAGAAATATTAACTCAAAAGGATTTAGTGATTAAAAACCAAGAGATCGCCATTAAAGCACTTCAATCTCAAGTTGATATGTTGAAGGAGGTATCTTCTGTAAAAAAGAACTATGGTGAATATTCTAATGATAGAACAAACTTATCTAGTCTTCCAAGCAAAAATAGACAGGATTATGTCATTACACCAAAAGCCGTCTCATCAGCTATACATCAAGCAGAAACAGCTACTAACTGCAGAGACATTATAAATTTGACTAAAACTGAACAAATAAATAAACCGAACTTTAGAGCAAATTCAAGACGTAAAAATATATTGATTGGCACAATGTCTGGTGGTGAAAAAAACTTAACGGCTGCAAGCTTAAAGGCTATAAACACATAAGCAGAATGTTAAATATTTTCATTCTACAAAATGGAATCCATCAACATCCATCGAAGAAATAAAAAACCATCTTAAAAGTATTGACCAAGAAATTGAAGTAGAACAAATAAATTCGAGATTCCCGCAGAGCTACGCATTTTTCAAGATTATTGCACCCATAGATGTAGTTCCAGATCTGCTTCGTGCAGAAGTATGGCCCGAAGGGATTTACCTTAATGAGTTTTTTCGGCCAAACAGAAGGCTACCAACAGCTGGAGTACAACCAAACCAACAAGGAAAATCGGACTAATTTAATAAATACTGCTGAAAAGCTAAGTAGTTTGTCATTAGTGCACATAAATGTTCAAAGTATAACAAACAAAGTCGATAGTTTAAACATTTTTACTGATGAACGTCATTTAGACATATTATGCTTCTCTGAACATTGGCTATCAGTGGAAAACTTAAAAATGATTAAACTACAGAATTACAAATTAGTCTCATGGTATTGTAGGGAAAATATTGGACACGGTGGTGTTGCAATTTATTCTTCCTATAATACCCCACTTAAACATTTTGACATCGCGAAGTTTTGCATACCCATACATGCAGAATTTTGTGGTGCTGAAATACCAAACAAGAACTGTATCTTAGTGTCAGTGTATAGATCCTCATCACATGGTGATATTAATATATTTAAAAATAAATTATTCCAACTTATTGAATATGTATCTAAAAAGTTCAGGGCGTTAATTTTAATTGGTGACTTTAACATAAACTTAAATAGCACTAATGAAAACTCTCTTGATTTGGTAAATATTTTAAATATGTATGGACTGAAACATTATACAGGGTGTCCTTTAAAATGTGTCCCAAAATTCTCAGGCAGATTCCTTAACCAAAAAATGGAAAAAAAGTTCCTATAGACCTATGTCCTAAAGTGCCCCCTAAGCGAGCAACAGCCTCTCGAAATCATTTTTTTTATTTTGATTTTTTGAATTTTCTTAAAAATGGAAACAAATAAAAGAACCAAATTTTGGCTGTTAAATATGATCAATAATAGTGACCTTTTGACACCTTCAAAAAGAAATTATTTCGTCAGGGGTGTACTTGGGAATTTTTTGAAAATTTTAATTATTCATAACTTTTTTGTGTTTTTGGTAATGACTTATCCATATTTTTTTTTTTACATTCTACATTGAAAACTACGTCAAAAAGGAATACTTGTTTGATCTCGATTGGAGCAACCGTTTCCGAGAAAACATCATCCAAAGATATTCGTCCACTTTAGCTTAATTTTCAATTTTCCTAAATTACCTCGGTGAATCTCGTAAATAAAAATAACTTTTTTAGCTCTCTCTAAATAATTGTAGTTCAAATGTCGTGGTGGGACTATTTTTATTTAATAATAAGAAACGGTTTAAAAAAATATTTATTCTAAAAAAACAAATCAAAAAAAATTAAAGCAGATGCTCAATGTGGCGACCATTGGTTTCCACACACAAGCGCAACCTTCGCATCATAGACTGTCTTACACGAAAAAATACTTCAGGATTATTTCTAAGAACTTCGCAATGATGAAAAACTCGTTCTTCCAATTCTTCAACTGTTTCAACAGGACTGGAATAAACCAATGATTTTAAATAACCCCAAACAAAAAAATCCATTGGATTTAGATCTGGTGAACGAGGTGGCCAGTTAACAGGACAACCTCTGCCAATTACTCTACCCTCAAATCTTTCGTTAAGGTGCTGTCTAGCTTCAAGGCTGTAATGTGGTGGAGCTCCATCATGCATAAACCACATGTTATGTCTGATTTGAATCGGAATATTATCAAGAAGCTCATGTAAGTTATTTTCCAAAAAAAGCCTGTATGCTGCTCCATTTAACCTATTCGGCAAAACAAATGGTCCAATAAGGTAATTATCAATAACTCCAGCCCAGACGTTTATTGAAAATTTATCCTGGTGGTGACGTTCAACAACCGCGTGAGGGTTATCTTCAGCCCATTCATGCATATTTCGAAAATTTATTATACCATCTCTAGTGAAACCAGCTTCATCGGTAAACAGCACTTTATTAAGAAACATTGCATCTTGATTACATCTTCCAAGAAACCATTCAGAAAAGATAACTCGCGGCTCATAATCAGTAGCTTTAAGTGCCTGAACTTTTTGAATGTGGTAAGGGTACAATTGTTGTTCACGCAAAACTTTCCATACCGTGTTACGTCCGACTCCCACTTCTGAAATTAAATGAGAGAATCTGTGTAGTAAATAGTTAAGAAAGAGAATCCATTGATTTGGGAAATCAGATTTTTTCTGCATAACGCAACTCTTTTCGATACGAAAAGTCGTGAAATGTAAGAGAAGCAATAACAAGTAAAAAAACTAGTTTTATACGATAAGGTACGGGGTAGCTAAAATAATAAATAAGTAATTACTTACCATTTGCTATTTTTCTGGTACTTGTCGATGGGGTTTCAGCTACCCTATCCAAAATTGCTTCTTCCAAAGCAGGAGTTCTCACATAATTTTGTCTTCCACTGTTACTAGAGTTTTTCTTAAATGTACCAGTTTCCCGAAGTCTATCGTCAATTCTAGAAAACGTCTTAGCGCATGGAAGATGTCTATTTGGAAAGCGCTCCTGATAAAGTCTGCGAGCTTCATTGGCATTTCCAGAAGCGAGTCCAAAACATAAGTGCATGTCCGTCATTTCGCCGAATGTGTAATCATTATTGTAGTTATTGTGAGCCATTTTAAACAAAATAATAACAATACAACGAATCGCATCAGATTTTCGGCTCTACGGACGCTGAAAACCGAAATCCGCATGCTCATCTGTCGGAGACATGTCGCTGAGAGGCTCCGCAAACAAAACTTTTGTATTCCTGTTAGTGTGTTTGTCTGTCTACGCTGCCCGCTACAGGTGTTAAATATGAGTTCACTATCACACCGTAGTAAGGTTTGGCTTTACTTCCATATAAAAGAAAATCGTGTGCAGTGTAAATTATGTTCATACAATGTTGTATACCGAAATAATACTAGTAATTTGTGGAATCATTTAAGAACGAAGCATCATACCAAAATAAGCAGGTATAATATATATATAATTTTTGGAAATTTTTCAGTTTACGTGCATTTTTTTTTTCATTGGCGAAAACAAAGTTTTAATGAACAAACTTAGTGGAGCAAATACGGGTGCTGGGTGGGAAAAATAGGAAAAAAATCAATAAAAACCATAAAGCGAATTCGTGTAATGGGTGGGTAAAATATAAAACCAAAACGAAGCATACAATATACGTTAAATAAATGAAGAAAAATATAGTAATATAACTTTACTTAGGATTAACACATTCACTGTGATGCTTATTTTAAGTGCGCGCGTCGTGAATTCGCGTTCTGGAAGTAGATATTTGCAACCGTGATAGCACTTAGATGATGGATTGAAAACTGTTACATTATTGTTAATTTTGACATTACAGTAAAATGAAAAATAGTGAATCGAGTTGTTCTCGTCCAAAACGGCAAAAATAATAAGTGAAGCAGATTTCAATTGCTTTTAACTCATTCTGTTATTTTAGTATCGTTAAAATGATCATTTATTGTAACAAAATTTTGGGCTTCATTTAAAATTTAATTTACGTAACAAGTGAGGAAAAGGGTAACGTAACGAGTGCATAAAATACACAGTTCAGTAAGTCATGCACATAATTTTTTCTACGACCACAACTATTTGAAGGATGGTCTAGTTGTTTTGTATATTACAGTTTTCGCATATTACAAAAATAAAATTATATATCACAATGTAGCACCTCACTAGTTGGTTTATTTCGAGAAATAAATTAAAAAAAGGAATATACTTCAAAATAGTAATTGAAGGATTACAAAATAAAATAGGGAGATAAATTATAACTACTTTTACACTTTTATATAATATTTTGTTTAGAATTCACACAACACTTATTTTTGTTTAGTTTTAGAATGTCTTTACAGTTTTGACACAAGCCTACTTTAAATTATTTATAGTTGTTAATTTCGTTACGTCAAATCATTTATGCACTAGGGTGATATTTTTATAATAGCAGGAGGGTGATATGAGGCACTTTCCATTAACCATAAAAGTGTGTTATGTGTAGTTTTCATAGGTGGTCGTAGAAAATACTTTATTACGTAACAAGTGAGGAACGTGATGTAACTATTTCGCGCAAATGGTAATTTAGCACGAACGGCGAGTGCGGAAACGTAGCAAGTGCATAAATTACATTTCCAACGAGTTGTGTACACAATTTTTTCTACGACTATTTAAATAATGTTCTAGGTACTTCATATGTTAAAGTGTTTGCATATGACACAAAAACAAAATAATTATATCACAATGTACTACCTCACCAGTTGGTATATTTCAAGAAATAAATAAAGAAAAGGAAGATACTTCATAATAATAATTGAAAAAAATTTGCAAAATAAAACAGAGATACATTTAAATTCCTTTTATAGTTTTATATAATAAATATTTTATTTATAATTCACAAAACACTTACATATTTCTGTTTAGTGTAAGAATTTATTTACAGTTTTGACACATGCCTACTATTATTTATAGTTATAAATTTAGTTTTGTCAAATCATTTGTGATAAGGGTGTGACATGTTTATCACTATAGTATATTCAAATCACAGAAAAATAAATAAACGAAGACAGAACATGACAATTTTAGTAAACAGGGTAGCATTAAGGGTTTTATAGTCAAAATGATTAAAAAATATACAGTAAGTTCGACTATAAAACCCTTAATGTGACCCTGTTTACTAAAATTGTCATGTTCAGTCTCTGTTTATTTACTGTTCTGTAACTTGGATATAGTATAGGGTGATTTTATATCATCACGAGGGTGATATGAGATACTTTTCATTAATTAAAACAGTATGCTGTATGCTGTTTTCATAGGTAGTCGTAGGAAAAGGTACTTTACTTTTTGAGCCTATTTTTCAAATTGGCGGACAGCATTGAACATTTTGACATCAGTTTTTTTACTTTTTAACATTCTTCATTTAAACGCCACCCCCAGAGTAACTATGTCCTTTATTATTTTTCAGTATTCCTTCAGAAACAGACTCAGAGGAAAGTTCAAGTTGTATAGACTTTCAAAGTGATGATGTTGAGGTTGCCGAAGAAATATTTAAATCAAAGTCTGCATCAACATGTTCAAGTCAAGCTAGCTCTTCATTATCGAATCATTCTCTGGTTCAGTCTCAACCTCAACCAAGAATAGATAATTTTTTTCCCACTGTACAAGTAGCAAAACAACGCGAAGAAATAGTGACACAATTGATAGCAAAAATGATATGTATTGATTTACTGCCAATATCATGTGTAGAAAATAGAGGATTTAAAAATTTGATATCCTATTTGGCTCCTACATATAAAGTTCCAGTAGCAAAGACAATTCAGTTAAGGATTGATGCTATTTACGAAATTGAAAAACAAAATCTTCTTAAAGAGTTAAGAGATATTCCCTACATGGCATTAACAACGGATTGTTGGAGCTCAAGAGCAACAGAGTCATATATAACTTTAACTTGTCATTATATTAATCGGAACTGGCAACATATATCTCATAACATAACGACTGAAATCATGGAAGAACGACATACAGGCATAAACCTGCAAAATAAATTAGAAGAAATTATGAATGAATGGGGAATAATGGAAGAATGTGTATCTGCTATTGTTCATGATAACGCTGCTAACATTGTTTCAGCGACTAGAACGTTACCATAATGACTCAATTTGTTGTTATGCACATTCATTACAATTGGTCGTAAATAAAATGTTGGACGACGAAACAATTAAACCAATATTAAACAAGTGCAGCAGTATTGTGGGCCATTTCAAGCATTCCAATGTAGCTGCAGGTGCATTAACTTACAAACAGGAGCAACTTGAATTACCAAAACATAAACTAATCCAATCAGTGAAGACCCGTTGGAACTCTTGTTATGATATGATAAAAAGACTTATTGAACAACGTGAAGCCATCACTAGTATTTTATCAGATAGATCAACAACAACAAGAGCGCAGGCCGCACAATTAACTCTAACTGAAGAAGATTGGATTGGTATAGAAAATATTGGAACAGTGTTGGAACCATTTCAATTAGTAACTACTTTGTTGTCGTCAGAGTCTCAACCGACGATTTCACTTGTCATGCCAATATTAAAATCTCTCATGAATAACTTTATTTTAAAGAATAATAGCGAAGATAGCTCTTCAATAAAAGATATGCAAAAAATTTTACAAAGAGAGTTTGAATCAAGATTTAAACGCATTCTTAATACCGATTCGATTAGCAACGGGGGCGAAATTGGAACATTTGATTTAAGTTCATTCCTGGATCCAAGATTTAAAAACAAAGAACGATTCATTGGAACCTTATTTAAAGTAAAAAGACATTTTAAAAATCTTATAGAATCAGATGAAGTCTCAGCGGTTGAGGTTGATGAAAACCCCTCAAAGAAATGTGCCCTGGATATACTGTTTCCTGATGAAATTCTTGCCTCATCGGACGAAATTGATATGTATACTTCTGAAGCCATTATCCCCAAAAATATGTGTCCGTTACAGTGGTGGAAAAACAATGAAAATAAGTATCCCAAGCTTTCAAAATATGCTAAAAAATATCTGTGCATATCTGCAACCTCTGTACCATCAGAGAGAGCCTTCTCCAAGGCTGGCAACATAGTTACCGCCAAACGATCTTGTTTAAAATCGGACAACGTAAAAAAAATTTGTTTTCTTAGTGGCAACTTATAATAATTATTAAAGTTTTAATTTGCAATTAGGTATGCAATCTTATTGCATTATTTATTTTTATTTTGTACCTTGTTTTGTTATTTGTTTCTACTGTTTTGTAGTTTTGTTATTTTTTTATTATAAACTTATAAAGAGTGTTACCATATTGTGCCAACAAAGTTTAAGGGTTATTTCTTTTGACATAAATATTTTGAAAACTACCTATTAAGAGGTTTTTGTCTTATTTGTGTATTTTGCACAAGCAGTGGATTAAGGTTTAACCAACTAAGTTATTTTTTGATTTTTGTACTTTCGAAAAATATTTTTAAACTCATAAAATAAATGAAATAAAAAAAATGTTTAACACCACGTATCTTTGATACAAAAACGTATTAGGTAGGACCTATGTCGATAGAAATTTTTTTAATTATTTCTAGATAAAAAATAACCTTTAACAAATTAAACGTGCAAATTGAACCTTATTATTTATTTAAGTTTGAACTTTATGATTTTATTTTAAAATGCAAGAACAGGACATGCCATCTATATTTTTTCAAGTTTTGTTACTCATGTTTTGTTTATTTGCAATGCATTAAATTGTTTTATTTTTAAGTGGTTTTATTTTTACTCATACTATGAACACCCTACCTAGATACGAAAATTAAAATGAAAACATTAAAATATTTTAATACTCATTTCTTCCGTATTTATACGTTAATCGAATTATCAAATATTTAAATATTCGTATATTTGAATATTCGAATATTTGAATATTTGAATATTTGAACATTTGAACATTTGAACATTTGAACATTTGAATATTTGAATATTTGATAATTTGAATATTTGAATATTTGAATATTTGAATATTTGAATATTTGAATATTTGAATATTTGAATATTTGAATATTTGAATATTTGAATATTTGAATATTTGAATATTTGAATATTTGAATATTTGAATATTTGAATATTTGAATATTTTAATATTTTAATATTTTAATATTTTAATATTTTAATATTTTAATATTTTAATATTTTAATATTTTAATATTTTAATATTTTAATATTTTAATATTTTAATATTTTAATATTTTATTTTAATATTTTAATATTTTAATATTTTAATATATTTTTAATTAATATTTTAATATTTTAATATTTTAATATTTTAATATTTTAATATTTTAATATTTAATATTTTAATATTTTAATATTTTAATATTTTAATATTTTAATATTTTAATATTTTAATATTTTAATATTTTAATATTTTAATATTTTAATATTTTAATATTTTAATATTTTAATATTTTAATATTTTAATATTTTAATATTTTAATATTTTAATATTTTAATATTTTAATATTTTAATATTTTAATATTTTAATATTTTAATATTTTAATATTTTAATATTTTAATATTTTAATATTTTAATATTTTAATATTTTAATATTTTAATATTTTAATATTTTAATATTTTAATATTTTAATATTTTAATATTTTAATATTTTAATATTTTAATATTTTAATATTTTAATATTTTAATATTTTAATATTTTAATATTTTAATATTTTAATATTTTAATATTTTAATATTTTAATATTTTAATATTTTAATATTTTAATATTTTAATATTTTAATATTTTAATATTTTAATATTTTAATATTTTAATATTTTAATATTTTAATATTTTAATATTTTAATATTTTAATATTTTAATATTTTAATATTTTAATATTTTAATATTTTAATATTTTAATATTTTAATATTTTAATATTTTAATATTTTAATATTTTAATATTTTAATATTTTAATATTTTAATATTTTAATATTTTAATATTTTAATATTTTAATATTTTAATATTTTAATATTTTAATATTTTAATATTTTAATATTTTAATATTTTAATATTTTAATATTTTAATATTTTTAATATTTTAATATTTTAATATTTTAATATTTTAATATTTTAATATTTTAATATTTTAATATTTTAATATTTTAATATTTTAATATTTTAATATTTTAATATTTTAATATTTTAATATTTTAATATTTTAATATTTTAATATTTTAATATTTTAATATTTTAATATTTTAATATTTTAATATTTTAATATTTTAATATTTTAATATTTTAATATTTTAATATTTTAATATTTTAATATTTTAATATTTTAATATTTTAATATTTTAATATTTTAATATTTTAATATTTTAATATTTTAATATTTTAATATTTTAATATTTTAATATTTTAATATTTTAATATTTTAATATTTTAATATTTTAATATTTTAATATTTTAATATTTTAATATTTTAATATTTTAATATTTTAATATTTTAATATTTTAATATTTTAATATTTTAATATTTTAATATTTTAATATTTTAATATTTTAATATTTTAATATTTTAATATTTTAATATTTTAATATTTTAATATTTTAATATTTTAATATTTTAATATTTTAATATTTTAATATTTTAATATTTTAATATTTTAATATTTTAATATTTTAATATTTTAATATTTAATATTTTAATATTTTAATATTTTAATATTTTAATATTTTAATATTTTAATATTTTAATATTTTAATATTTTAATATTTTAATATTTTAATATTTTAATATTTTAATATTTTAATATTTTAATATTTTAATATTTTAATATTTTAATATTTTAATATTTTAATATTTTAATATTTTAATATTTTAATATTTTAATATTTTAATATTTTAATATTTTAATATTTTAATATTTTAATATTTTAATATTTTAATATTTTAATATTTTAATATTTTAATATTTTAATATTTTAATATTTTAATATTTTAATATTTTAATATTTTAATATTTTAATATTTTAATATTTTAATATTTTAATATTTTAATATTTTAATATTTTAATATTTTAATATTTTAATATTTTAATATTTTAATATTTTAATATTTTAATATTTTAATATTTTAATATTTTAATATTTTAATATTTTAATATTTTAATATTTTAATATTTTAATATTTTAATATTTTAATATTTTAATATTTTAATATTTTAATATTTTAATATTTTAATATTTTAATATTTTAATATTTTAATATTTTAATATTTTAATATTTTAATATTTTAATATTTTAATATTTTAATATTTTTAATATTTTAATATTTTAATATTTTAATATTTTAATATTTTAATATTTTAATATTTTAATATTTTAATATTTTAATATTTTAATATTTTAATATTTTAATATTTTAATATTTTAATATTTTAATATTTTAATATTTTAATATTTTAATATTTTAATATTTTAATATTTTAATATTTTAATATTTTAATATTTTAATATTTTAATATTTTAATATTTTAATATTTTAATATTTTAATATTTTAATATTTTAATATTTTAATATTTTAATATTTTAATATTTTAATATTTTAATATTTTAATATTTTAATATTTTAATATTTTAATATTTTAATATTTTAATAATATTTTAATATTTTATTTTAATATTTTAATATTTTAATATTTTAATATTTTAATATTTTAATATTTTAATATTTTAATATTTTAATATTTTAATATTTTAATATTTTAATATTTTAATATTTAATATTTTAATATTTTAATATTTTAATATTTTAATATTTTAATATTTTAATATTTTAATATTTTAATATTTTAATATTTTAATATTTTAATATTTTAATATTTTAATATTTTAATATTTTAATATTTTAATATTTTAATATTTTAATATTTTAATATTTTAATATTTTAATATTTTAATATTTTAATATTTTAATATTTTAATATTTTAATATTTTAATATTTTAATATTTTAATATTTTATATTTTAATATTTTAATATTTTAATATTTTAATATTTTAATATTTTAATATTTTAATATTTTAATATTTTAATATTTTAATATTTTAATATTTTAATATTTTAATATTTTA